ATACAGAAAAAACGGTAATATTGAGACTTTTTTTTTTTTTTTTTACAATTTAAAATAACTGTTTTCTAATGATACACTCTAAAAAATGCTGGGTTAAATACAACCCAGTGCTGGGTTAAATAGGGACCAACCCAGCAATTGTGCTGTTTTGACCCAGCGGTTGGGTTAAATGTTTAACCCAACCTTCTGGGTAGTAACCCAACCGCTGGGTCAAAACAACCCAATTGCTGGGTTTGTCCCTATTTTACCCAGCACTAGGTTGTATTTAACCCAGCATTTTTTAGAGTGTATATATTTTAAAAATGTAATTTATTTTGGTGATGATAATGCTCAATTTTCAGCATCATTACTCTTCAGTCTTCAGTGTCACATGATCCTTCAGAAATCATTCTAATATGCTGATTTGATGCTTAATTATTATTGGTGCTCAATTATTAACAATGTTCTTATAATCAATGTGGAAAACAATTTTTACTGCTTAATACTTTTGTGGAAGCTGTTTTTTTTCAGGATTCTTTCATGAATATAAAGTTAATAACAACATTTATTTAAAAAAAAAAAAACATTAGAAATTACTTTGATGTCACTTTTGATCAATTCAGTGCATCCTTGCTGGAAAGTATTCATTTCTTTTTTCATTTTTTTTTTAAAATCTTACTTATCCCAACCTTTGAACAGTAGTGTATCATGGTTTCCACAAAATATTAAGCAGCAAAAACTGTTTTCAACATTGATAATAATAATAAGAAATGATTCTTGAGCACCAAATCTGCAATAAATTACATTTTAAACAGAAAAAAGTTCAATTGTAATATTATTTCACAATGTTTTATACTTTTTTACTGTATTTTTCATCAAATAAATGTAGCCATGGCAAGCATAAGAAACGTCTTTCAACACGCAAAAAAAATGTAGTATACTTGGAATCCATTGTAAATACCATGCTACACGAATATGGTAATCATTATATAGTATATATATATATTAATATCAGTGCATATTGGTGGGGTGTGGTGGACCTGAGGAAGCAAAAAGAAGGCAATAATCTTCTCATCCGAATTTGTTTTTGAGAACACACTGCTCTTGTTTGCCTCCGACGAGAAAACGCCATGGGTATATATCAAAATACTATTATATTACCATCATATTTCAGTGAGAAATGAACACAGGGCATCTGCTGACTGCAAACATTGATTTGTGCTCAGCAATCACATTAGTTCACGCAGGCATTCGCTGTGACAGTGAGTAAAGGACAGACAGACTGTCAGACACTCACCCTTCAGGTCTGTAGTCTGGGATGGGTCTGTCCATAGAGAGGCGGTCGCTCAGGTAACCATTGTAGCCGTAATACTGAAACATCTTGAGGGCCACTCTGCGGCTCTCTGGCCCCAGCTCTTGGCCCCAGTGGTTGAACAAGGACGAGTCAGAAAAAGATCGATCTAGCTGATTGTCATCTCCTTTCAGCGGGGACTCTGTGAGGGTCAAAGAAAGAGATGGTTGGCGTTTCCCTGATAATGAAACGTGTCAGAGAACAGAGGCTACAGAAGGAAAATGACACTGAACGCGTTTACATTCACCGATTGTGCTTAATAACACGACAGCTCATGAATAAAGGCCTTCACTGGTGTTCTTTTATTAGGCAAACCCTTGTGAAAAAGAATTGTGCTTAATTGTACTGAAATATTCAAATCTTAAAAGCATCATTTTACTTAACTGTACTTGCTTATAATATAATAATAATGAAATAAAAGACCACTTAAGTTCACTTAAAAACATTACACTGTTACACATTACACATAAGCTTGTGTGTGTGTGTATGTGTGTGTGTGTGTGTGTTCATGTTTCTTTCTCGTTCTCTCCCCAGCGCTACTGATGGCTGGTTCGTGGCTTCAGGGGCATAACTTTCACACCTCTCTATTTCTATCGTTCTGCATTTCTCCAGTTTCTATTTGAAGATGAAATAGATCATTTTTGAAATTCAACACAGCTTGTTTCTTGTGTAACTTTTTGCCCTTTAAACTCCCTATATATGCAACTAGAGAATCACATAGTGGTAATTTCAAGGCAAAGTTGTGATATGTTTTAAAAACTCTTAAAAAATACATTTAGTGTGGTGACAACTGCGATCTTGTAAATTTTATGTATTTCTAAATAAAATAAAATAAAAAATCTAAAACAATCTGTTTTTTTTTTTTCTGAAACTTCACTGACACCTCTAGTAGGTAATATGTGTGACAATCTAATGAAGTGGTAACCATCCCTAGATAAAAAAAAAGATGTATATATAAGACAGAGAAAAAAACAATGCTTTAAAGGGATAGTTCACCCAAAAATGAAAATTCTGTCATTAATTACTCACCCTCATGCCGTTCCAAACCTGTAAGACCTTCGTTCATCTTCGGAACACAAATTAAGATATTTTTGATGAAATGTGAGAGCTCTCAGACCTTGCATAGACAGCAACGCAACTGTAATGTTCCCAGGTCCAGAAACGTTGTAAGGACATCTGTAAAACAGTCCATGTGATATCAGTGGCTCAAATTCAGTTTTACGAAGCTACGAGAATACTTTTTGAGCGCCAAGAAAACATAAATAACATAATTTATTCAACAATTCTTCTCCCCCGAGTTACGTCTTCCGCCATTTTAGAGTATCAGAAAACAAAAATAACATTATTTATTCAACAATTCTTCTCCCCAGAGTTATGTCTTCCGCCATTTTAGAGAGTATCACAACACATACGCACGCTTTCCCCTAAGTATAAACAACGCTGATTACGCAGATTACGTTCATGCACGCGCTTTCTCCCCCAAAAGTAAACAACGCTGATTACGTCGATTACGCTCTTGGGTACTCTCCAAAATGGCGGAAGACGTAACTCGGGGGAGAAGAATTGTTAAATAAATAGTTATTTTTGTTTTCTTTGCGCTCAAAAAGTATTCTCGTAGCTTCGCAAAACTGAAGTTGAGCCACTGATATCACATGGACTGTTTTACAGATGTCCTTACAACGTTTCTGGACCTGGGAATTTTGCGTTGCCAGTTGCGTTGCTGTCTATGCAAGGTCTGAGAGCTCTCACATTTCATCAAAAATATCTTAATTTGTGTTCCGAAGATGAATGAAGGTCTTACGGGTTTGGAATGACATGAGGGTGAGTAATTAATGACAGAATTTTCATTTTGGGGTGAACTAACCCTTTAACTCAAAGACTGCTGCTGTGGGATGGTGATTTGCAAATGATTTGCAAAAAGGAGAATATTATACTGAGGGAAAACAATGTTCCATGCAAACAATATCCTTACATAACACTCCCATTGTGCATGAGCCTCGTTTTTGTTTGCGTTTCAATGTCACTTTGATTGACCTTTGCGCTTGACTGTCGCTTGTGACCTTTCCACATCTAGCAGCGTGAGCCACGCACTAACATGCAGCAGTTTGTATCTATAAAATAGAAAGCAGAGCTTCACTAATACATATTTTATGAATAGCTACTATATTAAAAAACAATTTCAGCTCAAGCTCAAGTTGCTTCCAACATAAGACATTAGCTGTAAAATCCTTTTAACAGACCCAATGTGCTCAAAATATTTTTTTCATGGTTAGTTCATGCCATAGTTAACAAATGGAACCTTATTGTAAAGTGTTACCAATATATCTTTCTATTGACGTTTCTACTGATTGATTGATTGATTGATCGACGGTCATTCCAGTGTTAAAACGGTTTCAGGTTGAGCATATCACTTTTATTCAAGAGGAAAGAAAGTCATTGACAACTGTCTGAAAAAAAGAAATGCAAAAGAAAATTAACATGCTGCTTTCCATAGAAGAACGCTAATACTGTAGTTACTTTTTGTAATGAGTAATTGTTGCCATTTCTCATTAAATTCCATCCACATCCATTTTATAGCCCTATATGCTCAATACTCATACTCTATGTGAACTGTCTAATGTGGTGTTTCAGGGTTTTTTTTTTTTTTTTTTTTCTCCAAGGAATTCTAGGAACAGCATCTAAAAACAGACGATGCTCTATTAAATCTCCTGAGAAATGAAAAGGCAATAATATATGATTTTTCCCTTGGTATTCTACATTTGTAAGAAACAAATCCATCAAGACATTTTAACCTTTTAACTTTAGTCCACAATCCACAATAACACTTCCTCCAGTGAAAAAGTCCATCTTTTGTTGTCCACTCAAAAACCGCTGACATATTTTTTTAGAACTGTTTTAGGTTGTTTTTGCCTTTAAACAGTGCTTAATTTGTACATACAACTTTTTCACTGGAAAAAGCAATATTATGTAAAGAGAACTTGTATTTTACCAAAAGAAATGGTTTGAAGTTAAAAGCATCTCATGATGGATTTGTTAAATACAAACACAGATATTTCTTTGCTGCACAAGACATTAAAGTTGGGGTAAGCGATTTTTCAAAAACGCTTTAGAAAACTGATTCGGGCCGACTAGCAAAACAAACTTGTAGCCAATCAGCAGTAAGGGGCGTGTCTACTCATGATGTGGAGGAGAGAGCGTTCAGTGCACGTGACAGACAATAGCGAGCCGAGCGACAGAAAGATAAAGATGGCGGATAAAAAACAAAAGAGGAAAACGTCTGCGGAACAAATGGACTTCAGTCATGTAGATTACTTGTAAATTATTGTGAAGTTTTTATCAGCTGTTTGGACTGATGGCACCCATTCACTGCAGAGGATCCATTGGTTAACGTGATGTAATGCTAAATCTCTCCAATTCTGTTCTGATGAAGAAACAAACTCATCTACATCTTGAATGGCCCAAAGTAAATTTTCAGCAAATTTTCATTTCTGGGGGGACTAGTCCTTTAAAAACAGCCGTTATTATATCTGCGCACTTGATATCTACAATATTTCAGGCTATGGGAACCGAATACACAGAATGGGGAAGTCACATTGTTGTGAGCAAGAGTATTGCAACCTGGACCTGTGTGAAAACATGACTACAGAGTCCCCAGTCAGAAAACTGATACTGAGAGGGTCAGTCTGGATCACTGACGGAATAAAATACGGCTCTGTTGGAGACTGGCTACAGAGAGCACAGACACCCACCCAAACGGCAGCTCTGAATAAACATCGGAGGCGTGCTGTTAACATGGCTCTAGACTGCAGCGGGCTTTAAGCACTGGCACAGGAATGTGGTTTATTGGACCCTGTGCACTTACACGCAACATCTGACTGCTGAGATGGAATATCAATATAATGTATTTGTACTTGCTAGTAGAAAATGAATTCTGTTTTATGTGTGAACGCTTTCTGTACTTCCCCTTTCCAGTTCCCTTTCAGTCGGTCACTCTCGACGTCACGTCGTGACCGACGAATTGGGATCTCGCCAGAGAGAACAATCCACTTCGAGTGTAACTAAACGAGCCAATGGACATTGGCATGCAGAATCGCATCTGGCTGCCACACCCCACAGCGCGGGTATAAGAGACAGCAGGTGCACCGCATTCATTCATCTTTTCGCTTCGGATCCGTGCGGTGGTGTATCACTACTGCTCTCCCTCTTTGAGTTACGGCAAGTTACGGCAATCAGCAGCGGTGGTCACGGTCTCACAGGGGAAGAAAATCATCCTTCGTGTAGATAGCCACACCAGGAGTGTGCGGTGGCCAGCTCCCCTGGTTTCTGGATGTGGTCGTTACCTGGCGCCTCAGGATGGTCACGATCGCTGCCTCACGTGTCTGGGCATTAAGCACGCTGAGGAAGCTTTCGTGGATGGTGCATATTCTCTTTGTGGGAACATAACCATCTCGGAGTTGCATAAAAGACTCCGCTACGTCAAACGTGGCGGAGTCCCTCTGCCGCGATCCAGCATTCGTCCCGGCACCCGGGGCGTCGCTGCTTCCTGTGGAGTCAGAGGTGATTTAAGGATCACGGTGAGGGCTTCTCCAGAGGAAGTTCCTCACCCCTCAACCGCTCCGCAGCCGGTGGAGCTGCCAGAGGTGCGCACTGGGCCCTCTGCAGGACAGAGTGTACCGCCCGTATCTTTCGGTGCTCCCCCTGACGACTAGATGTCGATCGCTGCATCGGAGGGCGAGCTTTCTCTCTCCGGGGATGACGACTCGGCTGCGTTGCCGCCTTCGGGGAGAGTGGCATTGCCCGAGTCAGGCCCAGAGATGACGGCTATGCATTCCCGGGCCACCAAGAATGTCGAGCTCATGTGGAATCCTTCACCGCGTCCTGGTCCTTCAAGGCTGGATGAGTGGTTCGTCGGTGGGGGTCGCGCTGGGGGTTCTCAGCGCCCCCCTCCGGTGCCATTCTTCCCAGAAGTGCATGAGGAGCTCACGAGATCGTGGAAGACACTTTTTACAGCCAGAAACAAATCGTGCAGCTCCTCCTCCCTCACCACCCTCGATGGCAGGGCCGCTTTAGGGTACACAGGCATTCCCTCGGTGGAGCGGTCTGTGGCCATGCAACTATGTCCTACAGCCGCTACCACTCTGC